ACATCTTGTACGTAGCGCACATCTGAGTGTGTGGGGGTCAAAGGTCACCCAAAGCTTAACTCTTATTGGTCCGTTTGCTTTTGTTTATTTGGCGGCTTGGCGCTTTTTCTGTAAGCTAAACATTAGTGAGCGGAGTTTGATCCCATCGTAGTTCCAACAGCGGCCGTTTGGATCCCGGCTGAGCTTTTTACCGTGTGGTTCTGGCGGGTCCGGATGGCTGAGATCTGCTGCTCCTCCTGAGCGACTCGGCCTGCAGGTTAAACAGTTTAATCCAGTCGAAACGTTTCCCAGCAGAGTAGAAATTAAGCAAACATTGTTGCTTCACCTTCTCCTCTGGACGTCTGACCCCTGAACCTGGGATCAGCATCCTCCTCTTTCCGTGGGTCTCAGGTCGGCTTCGCTTCCATGTCTTTATTATTTAGCATCGTTTGAAATGAATTAAAAAAAGTCTGCTGCCTTTCTGGTTTAGGTTTATGCTGGTTTTGGGTTAGACAGGTGGTTGAGCTGTTGCAGGTCAGCTGCAGTGATAACTTCGTGCTACTCTCTGATCTAAGTTTTTTTTCGATGGTGACCCGTCAGAACCGCGCAGGGTAAAAAGCTCAGGCGGATCTTAGAACAACGGAGGAGCTCATTCATTATTAGCTCACAGGAAAAGCACCAAATTAACTAAAGTAAACTGACCAATCAGATTTAGCCTTTTGCCTGCCCTTTGACCCCCACAGACTCACACTGATGTGGGCTACGTACAAGATGTTTTGACACAAAATATATTTTATTCTCTACAATGTTGTTGATAGTAAAGAGGATTAGATAATAACATACAGTAATAATTCTCTTCTTTTTTTATTTACCGTATTTTCTGCACTATGTCTCACCTAAAAACCTTCAATTTCCTCAAAAGCCTTATAATCCGGTCCTTATATATGGACCAATATTGAGCCACAACAGGTCTAGCCACTACGGCAAGCAGCTGCCGACTTCATTTTCGCCCGTAGAAGAAGAAGCGCAGTGCATGCTGGGATAGTTGTCAGAACGCTGGTTTGTTAATAAAGTCTGACTGACCTGTCTACCTACCGACCTGATAATCAGGTCGCCTGCAGGTCGTTTAGCACCAGGTTCTCCACCAACATGCTGTGCGCGAACGGAGAAGGGTGGCCATCGTCCGGCCACGCCCCGGCCCAGTCGCAGAAAGCTCTCCTCGCCGACCGGAGTCAGACTTTTTTGTTGACATTCTTTATGTCAACAAAGTGGCTTTAGACATTCATCCGGGGCGCTTCAACTAGGGTTACCAAGGGACCAGCCCCTATACATTTAAAGCCAGGAGGGAGCGGGGAAAGAGAGACAGAGACTGCGGCGGCACCATGTCGGTTGGTCTGTGTTACCCAGAAAGCAGTTGGGCACAATATGGCAACACCAACACCTTGAGTGAAACAATGACTGGGGCAGCCGACTATATAATGTACTCGGTACCATTTTTTTTTTGTTTTCATTATTACACATTCACATTTGTAGA